TGGCCCAGGGGGCCCTCCTATAGGACCAGGGGGTCGCCCACCAATAGGCCCTGGGGGTCCTCCTGTGGGCCCTGGGGGCCCCGGAGGTCGCCCACCAATAGGCCCGGGGGGCCCCCCCATAGGCCCAGGAGGCCGCCCTCCCATAGGGCCTGGGGGCCCCCCTACAGTAGGCCCTGGCGGTCGCCCACCAATAGGCCCAGGGCGCCCACCAATAGGCCCAGGGGGACCCCCAATAGGACCAGGGGGTCGCCCGCCTATAGGGCCCCCTATAGGTCCAGGAGGACGCCCACCAATAGGCCCAGGGGGCCCCGGAGGTCGCCCTCCAGTAGCGCCCCCTATAGGTCCAGGAGGACGCCCACCAATAGGCCCAGGGGGCCCCGGAGGTCGCCCTCCAATAGGCCCTGGGGGTCCCGGAGGTCGTCCACCAATAGGCCCAGGGGGCCCCGGAGGTCGCCCACCAATAGGCCCGGGGGGCCCCCCAATAGGACCAGGGGGTCGCCCGCCTATAGGACCCGGGGGTCGCCCACCAATAGGCCCAGGAGGTCGCCCACCAATAGGCCCTGGGGGCCCACCTATAGGCCCCGGAGGTCGCCCACCAATAGGCCCTGGGGGCCCCCCAATAGGCCCTGGTGGCCGCCCACCAATAGGCCCTGGTGGCCGCCCACCAATAGGCCCTGGTAGCCCCCCTATAGGCCCCGGAGGTCGCCCACCAATAGGTCCTGGGTTCCCCCCCATAGGCCCAGGAGGTCGTCCTCCCATAGGCCCCCCTATAGGCCCTGGAGGCTGGCCACCCGTAGGCCCAGGGGGCCCCCCCATAGGCCCAGGAGGCCGGCCACCCATAGGCCCAGGGGGCCCCCCTATAGGCCCAGGAGGCCGCCCTCCCATAGGCCCAGGAGGTGGGAGGCCACCCCGGCCACTTCCTCCTTATTTCCCTGTTCCTTATCCCCCCTACTTGCCTGGAGGCCGTCCCCCGTATTGGCCGGGTGTGAGGCCCCCGTTTGGGCCTGGGGATAGGCCCGACTGGAGGCCCCCCGGGGGTGGGGGGCCCCCAGAGGAAGGGGGGCCCCCAGAGGAGGGCCCCGATGGCGGGGACTCTGGAGACGAAGGCGGGGATGACGAGGGCCCCGGTGACCGCCCAGGAGGGGGAGGAGAACCAGAATATCCTGGAGGAGGTGGAGATGAGCCAGAATATCCAGGAGGTGGTGGAGATGAGCCAGAATATCCAGGAGGTGGTGGAGATGAACCAGAATATCCTGGAGGTGGTGATGAACCTGAATCTCCCGGAGGTGATGAACCTGAATCTCCCGGAGGTGATGAACCCGAATCTCCAGGAGGTGGTGGTGATGAACCAGAGTATCCAGGAGGAGGTGGAGATGAACCAGAATATCCTGGAGGTGGAGGTGATGAACCTGAATATCCTGGAGGCGGAGGTGATGAACCTGAATATCCTGGAGGTGGTGATCAACCTGAATATCCTGGTGGAGATGAACCAGATTATCCTGGTGGAGATGAACCAGACTATCCGGGAGGAGGTGATGAACCAGATTATCCAGGAGGAGGCGATCAACCAGAATACCCTGGAGGTGATGAACCAGATTATCCAGGAGGTGATCAACCAGATTATCCTGGAGGCGATCAACCAGATTATCCAGGAGGAGGTGATCAACCAGATTATCCTGGAGGTGATCAACCTGAATATCCTGGTGGTGGTGATCAACCAGAATATCCTGGAGGTGATCAACCAGATTATCCTGGAGGAGGTGATGAACCTGATTACCCAGGAGGAAGACCTGAATATCCTGGAGGGGAAAGACCAGAATATCCAGGTGGAAGGCCAGAATATCCTGGAGGAAGACCTGAATATCCTGGAGGCCAAAGACCTGAATACCCAGGAGGAAGGCCAGAATATCCTGGAGGCCAAAGGCCAGAGTATCCTGGAGGCCAAAGACCTGAATATCCAGGAGGAAGGCCTGAGTATCCAGGGGGTCAAAGACCACAATATCCTGGAGGTCAAAGACCACAATATCCTGGAGGCCAAAGGCCAGAATATCCTGGAGGTCAAAGACCAGAATATCCTGGAGGGGAAAGGCCAGAATATCCTGGAGATGGAAGTCCAGAATCCCCTGGAAGTGAAGGTGATTCTGACTTTCCCGGGGATGGGGGGCCCCCCGACTACCCAGACAGTGGCTGGCCCCCAACTGAGGGGCCCACCGGCGGCGACGGGCTGCGCCCTCCGGGTTCAACACAGGGCGGGGGGGCCCCCCGGCCTCCCCAGAAGGGCCCCCAGAAGGTCCCCCAGAAGGGGGCCCCCCCGGGTAAGAACCCCCCCAGCAAGGCCAGCAGCAGTATTCTCTTTGTGCCAACCCTCAGGCCCAATGTTGTCTATAATGGATCTCCTCGTTTTAACTACAAGAAGCCCTGGGGGTACTTTGGCAAGGGCTCCCGCTCCCGTTCGGGGCCCTGCAAGAGGTACCTGCAGCAAATCGGCAGCGGGGCCCAAGAAGAAGGGGGCCCCCCGGGTTCTGATGAGGACCTGGGGGCCCTCGTGGAGGCCCAGGAGGCCCCCGACGGCTGCCCGCAAGGGGACCCCCTCCTCCACGCCCAGGAAGAGGAGGGGGCCCCGGACAGGGTCCTGCAGATTGTTCCCAACAGGAACTTCCCAGAAGAGGCGAGGCTGGGGCCCCTGGCAACGCCCCAGAGGGCCCCCCAGCTGTTCGCCAACAGGGGCCCCATGATTGTACCCAACTGGGGCTACCGAGAGAACTTCAACGTCGGGGGCCCCATGGGCGGCGAGAGGGGCCCCCAAACGGCAGCAGCCAGCAACGAGGGGGGGCCCTTCGCCTCGTCCTTGAGCATGCTACCCTTAGGGTCCTCATTGGGGGCCCCTGCGCAGGGCACAGGGGCACCCCTCATTGCCCCTGGGCTCCTCCGGGGCCCCCGCAGGAGGTCCCGGGAAATGGCTTGGAGGGCCCGTAGGGGGGGGGCCCCCGACGGCGACGGGGTGGCCCCCTCGCCCACAGATGTGCAGGCTGTGGCAGCAAATGTGACCCGCTCAGTTATGATGCTGCCCGTGGCTGTGGGGGACCTCGTGACCAGGGCTTTCTTAGGAGAAAGAGGAATAGTTAGCCAAGTTGGCCGAATCTTTAGTCCAATTGTGGGCCCCAGGGGGGCCTCAGGGGCCCCCATGGCGAATGAAAGGGCCTCTGACTTCATGGGGGTAGCCTAGAAGACCCTGTACTGCAAGAAGGGGCCTCTACCCCTCTACCTGCACGGGGGCCCCCTGGGGCCCCAGTGCTGTCTGAGGGGGTCCCTGGTGACACAGGGGGCCCCCAGCTGCATGGGGGGCCCCTGGCTGGCTGGAAGGACCCAGGCGATCTTCTATAATATGTATTTAAATGCAAATAGCTTGAGGCAATTTGTCTCGAGGTATATATGAACATCTG